GTCCCGCTAGCTCATATCTGCGGAAATACCACGTCGAATAAGCTTTTTCACGTGGCGCTCGCAGCCGCAGGAATAGTTTATTTTAGCGCCGCTAGCGATATTAGCTTTCCAGCGTGAAACTGCGAGCTAATAATAGTTCAATGAGCTCGTACGAGTGAACGCTTGTGGGTGAAAGAAACTGCTTTTAACGCTATAATTTGCTAAGATTTATTGTGATTCAGGAGTCATATACAAGAATAGAAATACATATACAGAGTGCCCCTTTTTAAGTGTCCACCCCAAATATCTCTTTTGTTTTTTATTTTAGAGAAAAATGGTTCAGACATGTTTTGTATGGTTTCAAGGGGGCCATAAGATGGTACCATTGATTTGACCTCGAAGAGTCATTTGAAGGTCACATGAAGGTTACATCAATTCTTTTAAATAGCACTCCCTACTTTTTATTACATATTCTTGTAGCTGACCTCGAGAGTTTTCCAAAACATTATAACTAAATGTTTTTTGGTGAAGTACTTTTCGAGTTATAAAGCTCCAAATTTACAAAATTTTGAAAAATACAAAATATTTCGTAAAACATTCACTTTCCGATAGTTTTATCTTACATGATCCAACCAGTCAAGGCAAGATCCGAGCATGATCCAACCAGTCAAGGCAAGATCCGAGCATGATCCAGCCAGTCAAGGCAAGATCCGAGCATGATCCAGCCAGTCAAGGCAAGATTCGAGCATGATCCAGCCAGTCAAGGCAAGATCAGAGCATGATCCAGCCAGTCAAGGCAAGATCCGAGCATGAACCAACCAGTCAAGGCAAGATCTTCTTTTGTGTACAATTACTTAAAGTGTTCAAAAACTTGGCCATTTACTTGTATGCATAGCTCTAGTCTATGATGAAAGTCGTCCCTAACTTTTTCAAGAACACCTACATTAATATTTCTGCAAGCCTGTCTGATCCGGTTTTTCATATTTTCAACGGTTGTAGGCTTTTGCGAATAAACTATATCTCTAATGTAGCCCCAGAAATAAAAATCTACGGGTGTCAAGTCGAGTGATTTTGGGGGCTATTCTTGAACTCGGCTGCCCATACCAATTCTCCTATTCGGGAATCTATTGTTTAAATATTGTGTAACAGCTCGAGATCTATGAGCCGGTGCTCCATCTTGTTGGAGCCACATTCGTCTGAGTAAATCATTGTCGACATGTCTCAAGAGGTTGGGCAGGTCATCTTGAAGAAATCTTAGATAGATTGCCGCATTGAGATTTTCTTCAAAAAAATATGGACCAACAATAACATCTCCCAGGATGCCTGCCCAAACGTTAATGGACCACTGCCGTTGGAACTCTTGGCTTCTCTGCCAATATGTATTAGCATCTGAATAATAATGGCAGTTATGTCTATTAACGCCTCCTCTATTACGAAACGTGGCTTCATCAGAAAAAAGCGTATCAGCAATGAACCGGGGATTTTGTTGGATTTGATCTCGAGCCCAGTTACAAAAACGTACACAGCGTTGGTAGTCCCTCTCTTCCAATTGCTGAGTTAGATGAATGTGATATGGGTGAAACTTATTGAGCTTGAGCACACGATTGGCTGTTGATTTAGATATACCGTATTGCCTCTCAATTTGTCTCGTACAGATTTGAGGATTCAAAGCAACGGCACCTATAACAGTCAATGATGTGAGTTCATCAGCCCGATTTTCGCCGGTTTCTTCTAAGAAAACCCTGTTCAGCTCTATCGCAGAGTCTTTTTATTACTTTCCTATCAGGATGGCGTCTGTCTGGAAATCTTTCAGCATAAAGCCTTTCTGCTGCCGAGTAATTATTCCTGGCTTCACCCAAAATGCGAATCATGTCCACAATTTCATTTGGTGGATAAGCAGCCATAATTATAAAGAAAAAAAGCGCCAAAAACCAAGAATTCCTGTCTTATAAAAAAAAAGTCAATGGATATTATAATATGCGTCTGTCTGAGACTTCGCCAAAATACCGACAATTGCCCAAATAAGAAATTTGAAACAAGCCTCTTGATATTTGTTTCATTAAAAGAATTGACAATTGCACTTTTACAATTGTTATAGTTCATTGATTATCAGGCAATACAGGATCTCGTCTTGACTGGCTGGATCATGCTCGGATCTTGCCTTGACTGGTTGGATCATGCTCGGATCTTGCTTTGATTGGTTGGATCATGCTCGGATCTTGCCTTGACTTGTTGGATCATGTAAGATAAGACTATCGGAAAATGAATGTTTTACGAAATATTTTGTATTTTTATCAAAATTTTGTAAATTTGGAGCTTTATAACTTGAAAATACTTCACCAAAAAACATTTGATTATAGTGTTTTGGGAAGTTCTCGAGGTCAGCTATAAGAATATGTAATAAAAAAATAGGGAGTACTATCTAAAAAAATTGAGGTAACCTTCACGTGACCTTCAAATGACTCTTCAAGGTCAAATCAATGGTACCATCTTATGGCCCCCTCGAAACCATACAAAACGTGTCTGAACCATTTTTCTCTAAAATCAAAAATAAGAGAGATATTTGGGGTGGACACTTAAAATGGGACACCCTGTATATACAGGGTGTCTCAGAACTTTGGGACACGGGCTCCGTAGAGACATAGAGCTAAGTGAGAGGAATAAAAAATTCCTCTGCCATAATGTGAAGTCCTGTACCATAATGTGAAAATCGTAATAGTTTTTTAGTAATAACCGCGTAAAGTTGGGCGTTTTCCACGCCCAGCGCGGCCTATAGATGCTCCGCGGCAAGCTGTATGCGTAGGGGCGATAACGTGACTCGCGCTGACCGTCACGCGGTGTCAAAGCGCCAAGACGCCATCGCGACAGTCAGCGCGAGACGAGTTATTGCTCAGCTCCTACACACACAGCTTGCCGCGCAGCGTCTATAGGCCGCGATGGGCGTGGAAAACGCCGAACTTTACGCGGTTATTACTAAAAAACTATTACGATTTTCACATTATGGTACAGGACTTTTTTGTTCTTTTCACTTAGCTCTATGTCCCTACGGAGCCCGTGTCCCAAAGTTCTGAGACACTCTGTATATATTAATAATACCACGCTATCGAAAAATTCAGTCAGAACCATAACGTTTTTTTTTCGAGTTTTTTTCCGATCCGGCACAGCAGCCATCGAAAAAACCGTGTCCGGTGAGAACCTGTGCCAGCCGGAAAGTAAGTTCATGTCTTTTCTTGTCCACTCATTCGGCGAGACAGGGCTAAATAGACCCGACCGACCTTGGGTACTCAGAGAACGAAAGTGTGTCAGCCTTGGAACCAAGACTCTTGGTCTAGATCCTAAGTCTAAGATCGTAAGGCTACTTCTATTCCGGCTGTGATGTTAACTCGGCAACTTCTCCGTACACCGATATATCTCGGTATACTGAAACGAGCTCTAGCGGGAACTAGCCGGCTAGAATGTCTATCGCCATGTACAGAAAGATAGCACGGCGTCATCCTCAAGGCCACCGACAGCATTATCTGATGCATCAGATATTTATTGCGATCTGTGGTCTTTATTGCTTATGTTCATACGGGCTCTGTTGAGGATGACCGATACTATTAAGTTCACATGTAGGCGGTGAACTCTCTAGTTAAGACCATTCAAGTTGTGTACACTGTAAGAAATAATGTGAGAAATTTAACATATTTCATGTTTCTTAAATCATCTACACTCATTTACGTGTTAATTTAACATACAGAAAATATGTTAAAAAATAACACACATAATATGTAAAAAATTAACACAAAAATTTAACATTTTAACGCTGTCAAGAATCACAGTTTGTGTTAAATTACATACAATGAATGTTACTTCAACATTTGGGAAAAGTAATGATCTATGATTTAATGAAATGAAAATGTTAGATTGACATAATCTATGTGTTAAAAATCCAATCTTCACATACCAGAAATGTTAACATTATACGTATATTTAACACAAGGTAACTGTTATAATGAGAAAAGTAACACATTTTAGGTGTTGACTTCAACATATAAAATATGTCATAGCAAGAATTCATGCATTTACATATAAATTATGTTATTTTAATACTTGGAAATGTCATTTTAACACTTGAAAATAAATAATCCTAATTTAACACAAGAAAGTCTAGGTAACACAACAACGATATGTTAAATTAACACATGACTATGTAAAAAATTTAACACAAAACTTTCTACATACAAATAATTTTAACAAAAGTACGAAATGTTTTTAACTGTGTATGAAGCCAGCAAATACATTACGGATTGTGTGCATCCTGGATGCCAGCCTCTGAAAATAACTCCTGAAATTCCATCGCCTATCTAGCAGGAGTTTCAAGTACTTCAGCTGCGCCTTCACGGGAATACGAAGTTTATTTTTATCTAATATCTGGGTCCTAGACAAAATCCTTATCATGGAAGCACATTGCCTCAGTTTTCTGATGCTCCACTTGTAGGCCCAGATCTTTAACCGAGCTCATGATGCTGGGCATCACAACCTTGATATGAATAATTTTTAATTCCTCTCACAATTACGATATAATATGTAGATACGATGCGTTCGAGCCAAAATAGCTAGAAACGAAAAGCATTTTACAGTTTTACAATGCTAGTGCAACTTGATGTCATAAAAAATAAAGAATAATTTTTATCTTTTCATCATCATATTATTCATTTTCTACAAAACATCATATTATTCATTTTCTACAAAATCATATTATCATCCTGAAAAATAAGAAGTCTTTAAAATAGTATAGAAAAACGAGTAACAGACATAGTACAATATAAAGTTTAATGCCGGTTTAAATTACTATTTAAAGAAGGATATTCACCTAAATGAATCAAAATAAGATCAAACTTTGAGAATTCTTTAAAACTTATGAAATAATAAACTGCATTGCGTTTCTATCGCCAATGTGCTGTCAGAGTCTGTCAGTAAGTTCTGCGCGCTTTCTGACGCCGATATACTAATTTTAACTTATAACTAATTTTTAAAAGGAAAAAGTATACGAGGAATTGGTGGAAATTTATGGCACACAAGATCCAAAAACCGCGCCTGTGAAGTTCGAAGATTTGCAATTTATGAATTACTTGGAACGTGTTATCAAGGAAATATTAAGACTTTTTCCAATTGCACCTGTTATATTACGACGACTTGATGAAAATTTACAAATAGGTTTGTTTATAAATGTAATGTTGTAGTGAAATCATATGTGATATTTACATTGTATACAATTGTTTGTGTGTTATTCAATAAAGATATTTATTACACCGTACAATAAAATATAAAACTGTTTAAGTTTAATTTTATTGTAATTGTTTAAGTTTATCTATTGAATATTTTATTACAATAATATTTATTTTTATAAAAGGATATGTTTCAGGAGAATATATTTTGCCGAAAGGCGCTGAAGTTTTTATAGGAATAATACATATGCATCGAAATGAAAAGTATTGGCCAAATGCGTTAACGTTCGATCCAGATAGATTTCTTCCGGAGAACATAAAAAATATACATCCTTATTGTTACATACCCTTTAGTAACGGTCCAAGGAACTGTATAGGTAGATATAAATGACTTGAAATCAGCTGTGGCGGAATATATGTTTAATAGATAAAATTATAGGTTCAAGGTATGGAATGATGTCTATGAAAGTCGTCATTTCAACTTTATTGCGTACATTCGTATTAAAAGTGGACAGAAGGATGGAAATAAATGAAATAGAGTTGAAGATGGAAATGCTATTAGGATCCCGTAAGCCTTTAAAAGTCAGGATTGAGAAGAGGAATTAACAGCACAATATTGTAAAAATATATACGCAGTGAGGAATAGAAAATAGAAATTTTCTTATTAATATAATTAAATGATAATCTTTTTGTTCTTTTTAACTAAATTGGTGGACATATAATGTGACAAAATATATAAAAGTAATTAAATTAAAGCATGGAGCAAAGGACTAATATAAGGAAATCAATTATACTTGAAATTTCCCTTTAATAAGGGGATGTTTCAACATGACACTCTTCATCCGAAACAAGTCCCAATAAACACTTAAAAGGCAACATCTATGTAACCGGCTGAAAAAGAGATCTATTTTGTGGATTTTTTATTTACTCATCATACTATTAAATCATACTATTAAAAAATGAGTTTGATAACTTTATGAAGCATGTCAAAAAGTACAAAAAATGATTTTTTCATAATTAAACTTTACAAAATGGTGGATCTGCAACAACGTGAAGAAGACAGTTGATTTGGCAAGGTGGTTCGCGGCTAGTAGCATAAATGTCGTAATTTTTGGTTTAGAAAAAAGAACACAATATTTTTCATTTTCTTTACTCCAATATTTAGAGAAATACGTAGACAGTAGAATAGCTAGGCCGGTTCTAACCCAATTTCCAAAAACTTTTTGCAAAACCTGCCTTTATTAATTAAATATTTTAGTTAATAATTCTTTTATTAATATCCCCCCTCCTCCTCCCTAGAATTGTTTGTTTCCATGGATAAGATGGCGACCGTGACGTCACGAGAGAAAAACTGTCTGGATGTAGGTAGACTCGAACCTGGGCTCTCGCGGTTACTATCCAATACTCTAAAACTCCTAGACCACCGTCGCCTGTTGCTAGTAGACGTCTAGTGAAGATTCTTAGAGTGTGTATCATCATACACGCCATCGCGTCACGAGAGAAAATATTTATCACGCATAGTTCGAGTCAAAGAGGCTCGGTCTACACAATCTAAGGTTTGAACTATGCAATAGTTGATATATTTTTTCGAAGAAAGGATGTGGTCTAAAGTAAAAAAAAAGATGTATCATATAAGAAAGTAATTTATTTCTCAGAATAAACATCTCATAACTTCGCACATGATATTTTTCAAAGCACATGCCAGTAGCTTGCAATCAATAAGTGATTCACCGTCAAAGCCAGCGCTTTCACGTATCGCTTTTACCGCATAACACATTTCGGTAAATTTTTTTCGAAGAACTTTTACAAAAGTTTGAAATTTTGATCTAACAAGATATGACTGTTCAGACAACTGCGTATATATATGATCAATGCAATGTTCATAAATAAATAACGTGTTCATGGTAGCAGGATTCAAATACAAACACTTAGAAGATAGCGTTAATTTTACAATTTTTGAACCATTTAGCTCAATTCCACTCTTAAACCTCGAATCCGTAACGGAAATTACGATGATTTGCTCGCTTCCAGAAGTCATTGTATAGCATCACGATTTTCCATCAGTTTTCCCCAAGTGTCTGCATGTAATATTAGTTGATTACCGCGATTGTCACCGAGGACTATTTCCACGACGGGTACACGAGATTGTACATTGAGTCCAATCTCCAAATACTTATAAGGCGTTGTAGTCAAAGCGTATCTGCGCCCCAGGATGCGAGTAGCATGACATGACTCAGAAATGCTATAAAAATACAATAAATGTTATATATATTTAAAAATTCGATCGGGAAAGTGCACACAAAGTACCAACCAAATTCACACTTGATACTTACTTCTTACGTTCTATTTTGTATGATGGCTTCTCGAAACATTCGTCGCACTTTTGTTTCCACCTTAGGTGATCCTCATCCTCATCCTCATGTTGAACAGGCATGTAATAATTTGCTTGTGTAGCGTTCACTTTGACATCGGACATTTTGGTTTACTGTATGTGGAAGCTACTGTTGAACCTTGTCTTTACAGAGCGACTGATGCAACACTATGCTGGAGCTCCTTTAACACAGGCAAGTTTCCCCCCTCCGCCAATGCTGTATCCCCTCCATCGTTTTCTTCAGAGTTCTCAACATTTCTAATGCATATATCAATATATCTTCCGAAACTAGATAATAATTCTCTGGCACAACGTTGTAACCAATCAATTAAACAGTCATATATCGATAAAATAATATTCATCATAGCGCATCGCAATATGAGACAAAATAATGCGCAGTACAGAAATGCGCAATATTTATACTTTTTATTACAATTTTTAAACACTGCAATATAATGGTGTTGCGTATTACAATATAACATTTTAACCAAAATATTTTTGTCAGTCGTCGACGCCGGACTGCTGATACCAAATCGTAGGTCTATAATTATTGTGATATTAGATAAAGGAAGACATGCACATCATATCATAGGGTACATCCTGTGAAGAACTTAGTGTTGCATCATGTAAAGATATGATTATTTTTGGTCAGGTTCTTCCGGGAGTTATTTCTCGAAGATTGTCTAAAGTCAATACAATTATATTTAAGCATGTGGTGTTCATTAATCATTCCAGGAGAGATGATGAAAAAGAGCAGTTAAATCGAATTGAGGCAAAAGTCAAGTTTGTATAACATAGAATGGATTAAATAAAAGTTTAGTATAATATATTTCTTGTCAATATCAATGTTTCAATACACGTTTTCTTTTTCAGTGAAATATATGCTATTCTTCGGGATACACAGAAACAGAATAACAGGTCAAAAATAATAAAACCAAGCGTCATACCGATAAAATCTGTCGAGGACGTTGAGGCATTTGAAAAAAGTAATGATGACGAATATAATAACGTTGTAAGTAAAAAATAAAACTTTAGACTTATGACATGTGTAATACTTATTAAACGTAATAATAGAAATTTATGTTTGGCAGGTGCAATATCTTAGAAACATTGGAGGCTTCAATGCCAAAGAAGCGATAACTCTATGTCTAAAGGAAAGCATCGCAGATTCAGCTTCCGTTCTCTTTTCATGGCGAGGTCGAAAAGGGCTGAAGGCATTATACAATGTAAGACTTGTACTTGCAATTTTCGGTAAGATTTTTTAACATTTCTATTTATACACACATCACACACACACACACATGCGCGCGTTTTAATGAGTTTATTTTTATTTCTTATATTTCAGGACCGATTTTGTAAATATATATATAGGGTGCTAAATTTCAAACGTAACAGGTAAGAAATCTAGAAAATTATGAAAGATATTAAGAAGCTAAAACATGTGTTCCATGATTTCGAAGGGGAAAGAAAATAGCATTATTAGATTTTTATTTGGAGGGCATTTTCAAGGTCAGTTGAAAGTCAACTTAATTTTTTTAAATAGAAAACCCAACTTTTTATTATATCTTCTTTTTCTACCAATTAATTTGAACAACTTTTGTCTGAAACATTTTTTTATTTGCCTAATATTTTTTAGAAATATTTAAGGGAAACTTGGTAACTTTTTCAACATTTAACTTACGATATCTCGCTAACTATTCGTCGACAGAAAAAATAGTATTAGACTTTTTTACTTTATTTATTATCAAGAATATATTGCTATAATCAAGAATATATTACTATAATAGTGTCCTAACTTTTGTTAATGTAATAATTCTGAAATTTCCAAAGGTCTATAAGTTAACAAAAGTTAGGGCACTATTATAATAATATATTCTTGATAGTAAATATGTTCCGTACGGCACGTGATGCCGTACGGAAAGTCGGTGCGAGTCAACGCTGCAGGGCGGGCGGCCTGGTTCCCGGGGCGTTCTCGCTAGCGGCGGGGGACGCGGGTTCTCGCGAGCGAGCGCGCGGGACCCCCACTAGGTCCAACCACGGCCGCTACACGGCGCGGCTCGCGATTCCGCTGCCCGCGGGCAAGATTCGACCGCCCGGATATATAACCAGGCGCGCGGTGCCTGGTTCTCGCCTTGCCTTGTCTTCTGCCTGGCCAGTTTTATGTAGCACGTAGTGCTACGCGTTAGTGCATCGTGTAATGGTGATTACCGACGCGCTTCCTAGGGCGATCGGGTATTTCGTTTCAGATTCGGAACCACTGCTCTGTATACTCTGCTGAGTTGAATGTGGCCGATACACCCTGCTGGGTTGAGGCTCTGAATGGTTCGAATCTCGTTTTGTGATCGGGCTCACGGCGTTGCCGTGATCTTAGGAGCGACCGACCGTCTCCACGGAGCTTCGAGCTCCCTTATTGCCCAAGTGTCCGTAGGGGGGGGCCTTTGGCGGTTTTGGACCGGCTCGGTCCTAGAGCGTTCGCGCTCCTTCGTCCAAGTGTCCATTAGGAGAACTTGGCTTTCTCGCAGGAGCGAGCGACTTGGTTGTCCTGCGAGCCGGAGCTCCATTTCCACGCGTCCTCGGGACCGTGGCTGACTATTGGCCGTTACGTCCGGAAGGGCGGCAGGCCATCCGAAACGACGGAGGTCGTTTCGTTGCACGTCCTTGGCGTGCTTCGGGTGCCGCGCACCGTTGACGTCACGGACGTGTGTGTCCTGCGGGACTTGCGTAAGCGACGTTGTTTCGCTTGTATATAGCTACGTTTATGTTCTTCTGCGTTATTCTCTTCTGCTTTACTACTGCGTTTATTGCGTCCATTGCGTTTTACACTGCGTGTCACTTTACGTTGGCACGTGCGCGTGCTTCTTCTCTCTTGTTCTCGCCACCGTCCCTGGGCATGGCCCAGTCGGCGCGCGACGTTGCTTGATCAGCAGGGTCCGTGGTCGCCTTACGAGGCCCCGGCCTTTGATCAGGACGACCAGTCGGTCACCGAGCGGACTCGAGCGAGCCTAGACGCAGGCGGACGTCGCTCTGCGATCCCGTACTTCCAGCCAGCTCTCCGGAGCTATCATATGTTCGGGCTAGTTCCGAACAAAATAAAATAAAAAAGTCTAATACTATTTTTTCTGTCGACGAATAGTTAGCGAGATATCGTAAGTTAAATGTTGGAAAAGTTACCAAGTTTTCCTTAAATATTAAACATTTCAAAAAATATTAGACAAATAAAAAATGTTTCAGACAAAAATTGTTAAAATTAATTGGTAGAGAAAGAAAATATAATAAAAAATTGAGTTTTCTATTTAACCTTCTATTTGACCTTCAACTCACCTCCAAAATGCCCTCCATATAAAAAACTGATAATGCCATTATGTTTCCCCTTCAAAAATATGGGACACGTATTTTAGCTTTTTTTAATATCTTTCATAGTTTTCAAGATTTTTTACCTGTTACGTTTGAAATTTGGTACCCTGCCCCCCCCCCAATATATATTTACAAAATCGGTCTTGAAATATAAAAAATAAAAATAAATTCATTAGTAAACTTCTAATATTACAACAACTTTAATGGTTCCTACAGTTACTTATAGGAGTTAACAGATAACAGTTACCTGTTGTCCCGTACAGTCGCTTATAATATATATATATATATATATATATGTATGTGTGCGTTAATAATCAAAATCCTGCTTTATAGCGACGTTAGATATAATACAAGGAATACGGCCGAACAATTTAATGGTAATATATTACGTTAACGAGGTAATATTTCTCATGTTCCAAAATTGTATTGTACGTGACATGCTGCAATGTCCGGTACAGTCTTTTATATACGATAAATGTTAGACGGCCTGATTGCGAAATCTGGCTTTGTAAAGACTTCGGGGATAGATCGAAGAATATGTTATAACAATTTGGTGCTGTTATATGACAGCAAAGAGGTAAAATATTTTTTCTTGTAACATGATATTTCGCGGAACTCGATGCGATGTTTCGTACAACACACGCTTTATTAATATATGATAAATTTTTGACGGTCGGAATGAAAATCTGGCTTTGTAGGGACTTCGATAATAGTTCAAGGAATATTCCATATCAATTCGGCGGTTACATATATATTACGCCAACAAGGCGGAATATCTCTTCTTGTGAAATTGTATTCGCATAATCCACTTTGACGCTTGATGCATCTTTATTTATTTATAATAAAAGTTAGACAGTCCGATTGCAAAATCTAGCTTTGTGAGGATCTTGGGAATAGTTTTAGATATATGCTATAACAATATGATGATGATATATTACATCAGTGAAGTAATATATCTCATTTTGTAAAATGGTATTGTACGTGATCCACCCCGATGCTTCATAAATCTTTATTTATTTATGATACATTTCTCACACAGCCTCACTGCAAAATCTGGTTCTGTAGGTTTCTCGGGAATAGTTAAAAAAAGATGCTATAACAATTTGGCGGTGAAACATATCGTCAAGGAGGTGAAATTTTGCATCTCCTACAATGATTTTTCAACTGATTCGCTCCAACGTCTGGTACGGCGGGTGCTTTATTTATATATTATATATTTTTGACGACCGGATTGCAAAATCCGGCTTTGTACCGATTTCGGGAATAATATGAAAAAGATGCTGCAACAATTTGGTAATAATACGTATCGTCAAAGAGACGAAATATTGCATCTCGTGAAATGATATTTCGAGTGACTCTCAGCGATGCTTGGTACAGCGAACGCTTTATTAATGTATGATAAATTTTTGACGGCCGGATTGCAAAATCTGGCTCTGTAGGGTTCTCAGGGATAGTTCAAGGAAGATACCATAATAATTTGGCGGTTATATATATTGTCAACGAGGCAATATATTTGTTCTTGTAAAATTGTGTTCCGCCTGATTCGCTGCGATATTTGGTACAGCTGACGATTTAATTATGTATAATAAATTGTTGACGGCCTGTTTGTAAGATCTAACTCTGTAGAGATCTCGGGAATAGTTGTAGGAAGATGCTATAACAAGTTCATATATTACGTCACAAGGCAAAATATTGCTTCTTGTAAAATGGTATTCCACCTGATTCGCTGCAACTCCTGGTACGGCTGATGCTTTATATATATATATATTATAAATTTTGGACGGCCCGATTGCATAATCTGACTGTGTAAGGTCCTCAGGGGTAATTCAAGGAAGATGCTATAACAGTTTAGCAATTATACGTATCGTTAACGAGGCGAAATTTTGCATCTCGTAAAATAATTTTTGGAGTGATTCGCAGCGATGCTTGGTACGGCGGACTCATTTATTTTTCATAAACTTTGGACGGCCAGATTGCAAAATCTGGCCCTGTCGGGACCTCGATAATAGTTCACGGAATATTCCATATCAATTTGGCGGTTACATATATCGTCAACGAGGCGGAATATCTCTTCTTGTAAAATTGTATTCGCGTGATCCGCCTTGACGCTTGGTGCATCTTTATTTATTTGTGATAAAAATTAGACGGCCTGATTGCGAAATCTGGTACAGACCTCTTTGTATAGACCTCGGAAATAAATCGAGAAATATGTTGTAACAATTTGGTGGTAATATATGAGTGCAACGAGGCAAAATATCTTTTCTTGTAATATGGTATTTCGCGGGACTCGCTGCGATGTTTCGTATGACGCTCGCTTTATTAAAATATTATAAATTTTTGACGGCTGGATTGCAAAATCTGGCTCTGTAGGTTTCTCGGGGTTAGTTCAAAGAAGATGCTATAACAATTTGGCGGTTAAATATATCGTCAACGAGGTGAAATTTTGCATCTCCTACAATCATTTCTCAACTGATTCGCTCTAACGCCTGGTACGACGGATGGCTTTATTTATATATTATAAACTTTTGACGACCAGATTGCAAAATCCGGCTTTGTACCGATATCAGAAATAGTACGAAGAAGATGCTGCAACATTTTGATAATAATACGTATCGTCAAAGAGACGAAATATTGCATCTCGTAAAATGATATTTCGAGTGACTCGCAGTGATGCTTGGTACGGCGGACGCTTCATTTATTTTTCATAAATTATGGACAGCTGGATTGCAAAATCTGGCTCTGTAGGGACCTCGATAATAGTTCAAGTAATATTCCATATCAATTTAATGGTTATATATATCGTCAACGTGGCAAAATATCTTATGTTTTAAAGTGGAAGCTGGAAGGTATTCATACACATACACATGGCAATACTTATGCACTGCTCATATATACGCTAATCCTAATGCATTGCTCGTGCGAACGCAAGGCAGGAAGGTTAGATCATATAGATTGCACTATAGTGCAACTGGGCTACACTTTCCGTGTCATCTACACTTACAAATTTTGCCACGCATACATCATATTTCCTTATCAGACATACATGGACATCTTCCTTATATTAGTATCTAGGGTCGTACAGAGCCTGATTTTGCATTCAGGTTCTTGAAAATTTGTAATAAATGAAAATATAGGTTCGTGCTGCACCGCGGGATGAACGTTCATTCAAATTATTTAATCGATTTTTATTTCGACTTTTTTTCCAAAAAAGCGCTCTGTACGACCTTGCGGACGTTTCTCCTGATTGCAAATATCATACATATAAGGTGATTCTCTTCGTATTTTGTTCATAATTTGCAATATAATTTTGCCTAGTTCGCGGATCTCCGCAAGAGGTCTCTAGTAGACCTCCTGTAGACCCTTAAGCCCTAAACACAATGGATGCATTCAGTACTACAACCGCTCAATGAGCTTTTACATTTGATTGGTATATTCCTTTAGATTTAAAAATATACACCAATCAGATGCAACAGCTCACTTAGTGCTCAATGAGCGGTGTAGTACTGAATGCACCCAATGCCAGGCAACAGGCAATAAGAATAAAAATAGACCAATCACAATAGATTATTCTTGTAATAGTCGATTGTGATTGGTCTATTTTTATTCTTATTGCCTGTTGCCTGACATTGTGTTTAGGGCTTTATAAGAGTTAACTCCGGGTACTGTCTACTTGGAATTTTTGAACGATTAGGCTCCGCCCATTTAGTAGATTACACCACATTTTGGAACGACGTTGAGTTAACTCCGCTACTCCGAGTAGAGTTTTGGAACGCAGCCGAAGTCATGTGGTCTGTTTTTTTAGCTGCACTGCGGAACTAGTGCAATAAGTTAGAATGAGACCACTATATTTTTTCTCACTTTAACTTATTGCACCATTTCAGTAGTGCAGGTAAAAAGAACAGACCATTGGTTAGTTTGGTTAGTTCAGCACGTTGACGACATGTCAACAACGGCATGGATTTTATTGTTAGTCTTTCAATTTTGCCTTTTCGGAGATACGGTTGGTTCAGTAGGTGACAAGTCGCAGGTATACAATCAATGTCTAGCATTGTGTCGCAATAAAAACTGCAAAGATGGTAATGACTGTTAAAATTTGTATACTCGATTGTTATATTACCTATCTCTGTCAAAAAACGATGCAAAACAAAGATTGATAATTTCAGAATTTCTTTTTAACAATTCAAATGATTTAGTAGTATGTGTGTGTGCAAAAACAAGAAGAACATTATATTTCTTATTTATGGATACTGTGTATTTGAATATTATTTTTATAAATTTTGTCTCAATATTTTAATAATTAATATGATTATCAGTATATAAGTATCAGTATATAAGTATGAATTTTGATTGTTATCTGTCCTCAACTTTATCTGAATACCTCCAATGCAATTATTCTAATAATAAATAATAATTATTTCATAGTGATGTTAAAATAGTGTGAGATATTTTATATTGTGCCTCTTGATATATTAAAATAAAATAACCAATATCATATAATATGCCACTATTGCTCTATTATATATAATGATAAATATTATAATATACAACTAGAAATACTACATATTTTATAAATATAGCATAATGGGAAACATAAACTATTAATTTTAATCATTCATTTAAAACTTGTAAAATATATAACTTTTAAAATCTCACGTAGATAGACATGTTGGCAATAGCATATAGGCATTCGTATATTTTATGATACCATTGAAGTGGCATAACATGTTTATAATATGTTTGTTGTAAGAAATACATATTTATTATCCCATACTTTACAGTAAAATATCAGCTTGTTATATTGTTGATCAATTGCATCCTTTTGCCGACATAATACATGGTATGTTGCTGCAATTTTCATCAGTTTACTTCTTTTTTATGTCGCTACAATGCTTCTTGTATGAGGACACATCTCTACTATTTATACTACTATTTTTAATTCTTAAATTCAGTCTCCATTCAGACACTATGCTGAAATTTGTCTATCTGAGAAATCATTCAATCTGAGAAATCATTCAATATGCATTCCAGAAAAGAATTTTAAGAAACAACCCTCCTTATCACTTACTTTGCTAAATTGGTCTTGCAAAGAAGATTGTAGTTATATTTGCACATGGAAGACAGTAGACTCTTTTATATCTCATGGGTTAAAAGTACCACAATTTCATGGAAAAGTAAGTAAATACAAAGATTTACAATCATTGCTCAATGTCATAGAGATAATAACTACTGTATGAATTAAAAGTTATAGCTCTATTTTAATAAACAATAATAATAATGCTATTAAGTGCCAATATATCAATATCTTGTAAAATGTCATTTTTTTTATAATGGAATGAAAAATCTTTATTCATCTAATATATCAAATTATGGTGAAAAACTGAATTATGATAAAGAACTGTATTAAATCATAATTTGCATTTTTATCATTCTTATTTTTGCAGTGGCCATTCATCCGCATGTTTGGATGTCAAGAACCTGCATCTGTTTTCTTTTCAATATTAAATTTCTATACCCACTTGAAAATGTTTCAAAAGTTTAAAAAACAGCTGAATGGTACCAATCCTATGTTTTATGCTTGGTTATATTTTAGTATTGTGAGTATAATAAAAAATGTACTATCCTAGACCAAGTAAATTTAATCTTATACTAGCTAAAAGATATGTAACTATTATCATATTTTTAGAAAAATTATTCAAGTGATTTTTACAATAGTATTTGTGATATTTAAAATTTAAATTATATCAGTCTTTTCTTTTTTCATCATAGTGATTTATAATTTCTAAACCTTCCTTTGCTTATGAAGCAACAATATTTGATTATATTATAGATATGCTTAAACGGATGGTTCTGGTCTGCTATATTCCATTCACGAGATAGACCATTTACAGAAGCAATGGATTATTCTTGTGCATTTAGTATGGTACTTACACTCTTATACTGCATGCTTTTAAGGTAATGTGTATATTCTTGTTTCATACATCTTTCTAACATAATTAATATATATCAGGAATATTGAATTGCAAGTATTTTAATTAATCTTCAGGATGATATGCAAAATTTGAAGAAAAGTTATTATTTTTAGGATAACATATAAAAGCAATAAAGCATTTATTGTAATAACTTGTGGATATATAAGCATCTTGTGTATGCATTTATCGCATTTATGGTCAGGCAAAATTAATTACAGCTATAATATGATGTTGAATATCTTGATAGGTAAGTTTTACATTATGCGATCAATGTTTTTGTGAAAATAATTATTCTATAAAAAAACGTTTTCAGGCTTAGCGACTTTTGCGATAACAATTCTGTGGTGGTACATTAATCGCAATAAGTTATTTTATACATACTTAATTGTTTGGTTCAACATATTGACCATTTTTGTCACTTTACTTGAATTAGCAGACTTCCCACCTATTTTTTGGATACTTGATGCTCATTCCTTATGGCATGCTAGTACAGTTCCTTTAATTCCATTATTATATAGGTAATTAAATATATACAGCATAATCTTTATATAATATAAATGCAAATATATGCACGGGTGAGTCTGAAATAAATTGTAACTATTATAATTAAATTCTTTATTTGTGTGGGCGTAAATATACTATATAGCGTATGTATAATTGAGATGCGATGTTGCGTACGCTGATTCCTAATCTTTTATGAATGTCTCGAAATTTCACCACATTATTGTTTACAAAATAGCAGGAATCCTTGTGTGTCCAGGTTAACATGTTCTGTCTTCTCGTGCAAGATGTTTTGCATATAAACACATAAAGGCATTTTGTATATAAAATTTTTAATTAATATATAATTTAATTACAATAGAAAGAGAGCTACAATTTATTTTCTCAAAGTACGTGTGTGTATGTGTGCGTGTATACGTGTATAGTTGTAATTGATTACTATATATTTGTTTATAGATTTATGATCTCAGATTGCTCCTACCTGCAAAACAGTTACTATAAATCACTTCTAGATATTAATCACAGGCAGTAAAAGACTTTATATAGTATGATACAAATTCATATTTATTTCAAAATATGCAGGGTAAGCCCGAAAATATCAATTTTAACTAGATATAATAGATTTATATATTTAAATGTAACGTCATGTCTAATTAATATGAAATATATTAATCGCTTATGCCGAATTTTATCTTGAATATAAAAAATGTTAATATGTATATCTTATATACAGGGTGCTAAATTTCAAACGTAACAGGTAAAAATCTCGAAAACTATGAAAGATATTAAAGAAAGCTAAAACAGGTGTTCCATAATTTCTAAGGGGAAAGAGAATGGCATTATCAGTTTTTTTATTTGGAGGGCATTTTTAAAGTCAATTGAAGGTCAACTTAATATTTTTAAATAGAAAGCCCAATTCTTTATTATATCTTCTTTTTCTGTCAATTAATTTTAACAACTTTTGTCTGAAATATTTTTTTATTTGCCTAATATTTTTTTAAATATTTAAGGAAAACTTGATAACTTTTTCAATATTTAACTTACGATATCTCACTAACTATTCGTCGAAAGAAAAAATAGTATTAAACTTTTTTACTTTATTTACTATCAAGAATATATTACTATAATAGTGCTCTAACTTTTGTTAATTTAATAATTTTGAAATTTCCAAAAGTTGATAAGTTAACAAAAGTTAAGGCACTATTACAATAATATATTCTTGATAGTAAATAAAGTAAAAAAGTCTAATATTATTTTTCCTTTCGACGAATAGTTAGCGAGATATCGTAAGTTAAATGTTGAAAAAGCTACCAAGTTTTCCTTAAATATTTCTAAAAAATATTAGGCAAATAAAAAAATGTTTCAGACAAAAGTTGTTAAAATTAATTGGTAGAAAAAGAAAATATAATAAAAAGTTGGGTTTTCTATTTAAAAAAATTAAGTTGACTTTCAACTGACCTTGAAAATGCCCTCCAAATAAAAATCTAATAATGCTATTTTCTTTCCCCTTCGAAATCATGGAACACATATTTTAGCTTCTTAATATCTCATAGTTTTCGAGATTTTTTACCTGTTACGTTTGAAATTTAGCACCCTATATATAAACTTTGTCTCTATAATGGAAACTATATACGTAAATTTTATACATTACCATATACGTAAATTTTATACATTTTACATATCTAAAAAATGGAATTAAGAATACAATTTTTTTTAATTATTTTATATATATTTAAAATTTTATATATATTTAAAATTTCAATATATATTCTTTTGGCATGTTTGATACTAGGTCATGTATAACTGAGTCATGTATAACCAATATCAGAATAAAATTTTATTTCATAATTAATAATAAAATGCATTAAGATATGTTAATTCTACTTGCTACAGATAAATATATATTTTACCGTGTATTTATATATATATATATATATACATAAATGTATATATATATATATATACATATAAATGTATATATATATATATATTTATGTATATATATATTTTTATATATGTGTGTGCGTGTGTGTGTGTTGTGTGTGTGTGTGTGTGTGTGTGTGTAATATCGCTAAAAACTTGAAAAATATAATATTAAGATTATTGCAATAAATTTTTTAATATTCATAATTAAATACTCATATAAATTTCTTTTTTTAGGATAGTATAGTAAACATTAGCAGGAGGATAGTAACGTTATTAATCTTACAGACACTCTTAAATATGATAGCAGATTCGTTATAAATATGTTGTTGCAAATCGTCTTCTTTTCAACTGTACGTATGTATAAAACATCAAAGTGTAAAATATGTGAAAAATCAGTCCTTCACTTAAATTTCGTAAATATTAATGCTATCTCTGAAAATATCTTGTACCATAATTAAATGTAAACGACAATAGCTTGCGCAAATGTTTAAATATCTATTTATCTATGTAACAGAGCAAAAATTTTTTCCTCTTAAATATTTCATATTCAATATTACCACTCTTGTTATTTAAGGCTCACTGAATTTTTTTCCAAACATGATCTAGGCCCATATTTATAGTCAAATCTTATATTTAAGATCGTTTTAAGTTAAGTTTAAGGTTTATTTTCAGGTCCTATATGGATCATTTCATTGACTGTGGAAAATCTGTAAATAAACTTAAGATGACCTTAATTATCAGATCTGACTATGAATACGAACCCTAATCACGACAAAACTTGCACAACTCATAAAGCTTGATATTTTGTCTGATACATATCAGCTACCTAATACAGTACAAATCTTATATATATATATATATATATATATATATAACTGAATATAGTTTCTAAATTAAACTAATGTAAATATGTAAATACAGTAAATAAAATGATTCTGTTATATGATGACAAAAATTAGCTGTCTCTCATTTACCAACCATTGAACTTACAAAATGATGTTTAAATTGGAAACCTACAGTTTAAGTTGGACACTTATACAGAGTAAGTAATAAAAAACGAAACTTCATCCATTTCATTACGTTTCATGCTGCGATTTTAATATTTAAATTTACGTACTTTTTATTGAAATATCAAATATTGCTTTTAGAAATAAATAAAAATGAGAAACCGTTTGTACAGAAATATTCATATCAACTATTATAAAAATGATTTGTTCTCTAAGTAAAAATAATGAAAGTAGAAAACGATGTCTATCTCGAGATTGTTCATTTTCGTTATATAAATGCTTTTTAACATGCATACGCAAATGGCACAAATGAAATATGTATAAGCAACGATTATTTCTCTATACGATATAAAATCACTGTTTCATTGTATTAAGCGGCATTAATGACTTAACATTTACTAACTGAACATTCTTCGATTCTATGTATCATATCTAGACGCTGATCCTGCAGAGTCTTTTATTTATCATAATGTCTCGTCGCACATTTGACTTTAATAATAATTATTAATTACTTGACTATTTTGAAATTAATCTTTTCCAAATAGAAACATAAATGTCTAATAAAAATATTCAAGTAGAAATACAAGGCACACTTTAAATAAATACATATTTCAAACAAAAAAATATAAGCTCCTAGATAATTAATGATTACAAACAAAAGATGAAAAACTGACGATTCTTTGGAAATAGAACTTTACATAAAATGTGAATGTTAAGACATTTGCGACGCCTAACACACAATAAAATATCAAAGTCTTCAGGAAAGATTTGTCGCATGCGCATAAAACGTATTTAATACAACAATATCACAATCTATTCTATTCACTTTCGCATACTACTTAGCTGCTCGTGTATATAAGATATGCACCTCAAAAATTCAGGCAGTATAAAATCGGAAACGAGATACGCACATGAATGTGCAACTAACTCTTATATACCTTCATAAGTACCTTCACTTAAGTAATTATGATTAATTCGTTGCGAATATTTTCGAGACGTTTTGATTGTTTCAATATCTCAGTGCTTGAATAACGCCTCGCTCTCAGGATTATCGTCCCGATTGTGCTTTTCGAGATTCCCAGACAAAGTCGGATCTGGACGTCGCCTCTTGAAAAAACCGAGTTTTCTTAACACTAACGTAAGCAGAACGAACAATAATAAACCGGCTACTACGGCGACAATAATCACCCATACTGGTACTGGCTCAGCTTCTTGCTGATCCAATAAATCTGGATAAGCGATTGTCTCGGCCTGTGTGATAACATAAAACTTCTAAAACATTCGCTGGCAAATTTTTATTATACTTTTAATTTGTTTATATATTTTATCTTTAGCTCTTTTTTGTAATCAATCCAGTACTTGTCAACTTATATATGTAAAATTATACTTACAATAGCGTGGTCGTCTTTCAAATTTTCTTGCTGTATTATAACGTTCGGAGGTATCACTATCCTAGCGTTGGAACCTATTTTGACTAAATCCACTTTCGGATAATCCTCGACCAAAGTAGAATTCCAGAGTCTAAAATTGGTAATTCTTTTAAACATGGCAAAAATGTTAAAATTCGATGTTAGAATTAATATAACAGGATCAATATGTTATACATAATTTAGTGTGACATTTAAAGTGTAAATAAATAAATATAATAAATATAAACATTTTAATTCTAAAACTTAATCGGTAAAAATCAATTGTATAAACATCTTTGTTACCACCTTGCTTTAACAGTAATAATAGCTTCTTGTTTTCTCTGCAAATTGTATATGTAGCACGTAATATCGAAGCATTTCGCTGTGCCTGCTTTACAATTCTGCAATATAATCATTGTATTACTTGATTTCAAGGAAATGATGTTTGTTAAATTAGTTAAGATTCGCAAGTATACATTGAACTTGATTGTATTTTCACTAGAGACTCATTCTAAATTTCACTTTCGATCTATGAAACACTACTTCTTCAATACAACTTAAGTCTTTATCAAGACCTACCATTGCAACCACACGATGTCGATGTCCATCCTTATCGACAATCGTTCGTGTATTAACTACTTTCTCTGTATCTCGCGTTGTTCTTATGTGATTAGTATGGTTATACAAAATTGGTGATATAGTCGAAGACTGTAAAATGCTGTCGACATCATCAAAGGTATCACTATCCTGCAGCTTCAATGGATTAACTATGTATCCTGATGGCAGAGTGCACTCACCATCCCCTAGAGCTAAATCATTTCACACATTTTAAATGATATCGACTTAGATTAAAAGGACTGTTGGACTTTTTTGCATAATTTAAAAACGTTTCAATTTCAAAACTCAGCTGTTAAAGGCTGTCCAGTTAATACACCAATTTAAAACCAATGATGCAATAATTGTATATTTTAATAAAAATAATAAACTCTCTCCCTCTCTCTCTCTCTCTCTCTCTCTCTCTCTCTCTCTCTCTCTCTCTCTCTCTCTCTCTCTCTCTCTCTCTCTCTCTCTATCTCCCTCTCTCTATCTCCCTCCCTCTTCTGCACACGCACACGTATGCGTATATAAAATGTATATTAATTAAAAAAAAATTAATTTTTATCTTTATATGACATGGTATATCATTACTTTATGTTAATATTACAAAGCACTGATAAGCTATTTTCTATTGTTACACAATCGTTTTTACAATACCTTGAATAGTCGGTAACTCTTCCATGTATAGCAACCATTTGCCATGCGTTTTGTCATTTGCCACTTCATAAGGCCATGAAATACGCACTTCCAGAGTGCTAACTTTCCACGGTCCTTCGTTAAATATCTCGTAAATGTGTGATACCTTCGGTCCTATCTCATTTAAATGCCTTATTGCAGATTCACCAACTACGGGACCACCGTAAAATGCCCATTGAGTCTTTGCACTCCTAGAAGTCAGCGATCAACAAATAACGTTTGATGATAGTCATCAATTTTATATAGAAAATATACAATTTATATAAAAAAGAAACTATTACTTATTAATTGTATGTTATCATTAAAAAATCAATTATAAACTTCTGTCACAAAAAAATATGTAAATATCATTAAGCCAGTACACTGAAGCAATATTATAATTTTTACCCTTTGATCGAGAGCTCAGCACGCTTCAACACAGTCGCTTGCAACACAGTGGGTTTCTTGTCGTTAACTTCCTTCGACGTGGAATTGACGAAAATCGTAAAACCTAGCTGCGACTCGTTGTCCTCGAGACCCTTAGGGTCAAATCTCACTTGTATGTCCACAGTTTTATTCTTTTGAAAGGGATTGCCGATGGAGCACGACACCAGAGTGGCATTGTACAGATTGCAGATCACGGAGTCATTGCTTTTGCTGGCTATATAGTTCAAGCTCTGCGAGTGGACGATGAATAACTGAGCCTCGTATGCAGATTCACCAATATTTGCCACGTTTACCTCCACCACTATCTCCTCCCTTTCGCCTAAGAGTAATTCGTAAAAGTCCGGTTTCACGGAGGAAGCTGACATAATAAAAAATGATTTCGTTAGAACCGTTAAGAAAAAACGTAAAAAGAATCAGATGTACTTTCATTATTTCTTAATAGTACAGAGTTTTTACAAACCCTCTCACTATAACAATCACTCTCATTAGCCTTTGCACTCAGCAACTTTTCTTGAATCACCTACCAGTAACTCAACCTCATTTTCTTAAAATAGTGAAATAGCAAAAACAAAACGCTTCAAGTATAGATTTGAGCCCAATTATTTTATTCGAATGATATTTGGTTATTCAATCTTATAGAACTTATTTATGAAAAAAAAATCGAACTTTTACATCATCCACATTTTTCTAATGTATGATAACGTTTGAAACAATCACCGGCGTGCAATGCAGATTCGTTAGAACAAATTACATTGTTAATAATAATTACTTGTTAATAATAAAATTTGTTTGTCATCTTTTACTTTAAGCTTTTCTATTTAAACAATATAGTCTCGTACAGAAAACCTTCATATAAGATCGCTTTTTATCGCTATTACAAAGAACTTTATCTCTCCTATTACAAAGAAATGCTGTTATCATTGTGAAGGTTTACATATCGCTGGCTGATATTCTCTTAGGTATATCTAAGCATATTTTCCATTTCTTTATTTTTTTTCTCATATAATACAAATGAAAAACTTCAAGGAAACATATATTTATGAAAAATTTTGCACTTGCATAATTCTGTCATATATAATTACAAGCAATCTCTTTGTTCTCAAGTAATCTCTGTGTTCCCTTAGAAGGGACATTTGAGTTGTTTGGTAGATTTACGATATTCCCTCAGAGGAAACAATCGAATGCAAAGGATTAATAAATTAAAATTCGACTAAAATTACAAAGAATTATAAGAGAAAATTAAAAAAAAACATATAAATTCAGATGTAAAATAAGAGATATTCTACCTGATAAATTCAGTTCAGCCTTCACTTGCAAATCGCTTTCGCAGATGTCGTCATCTCCACAGTCCTTTTGAAAGACTGCTTCGAACACGCGAGCGGCTTCTTGCTGATTCAATATCGGATAATTCTTTATGTCGGGTAGAACGGCACCTTCACGAGGCATGACCGGTTCCTCTTGTATCAACGAATAATTCAAGCGAAATTTAATGGGAGACTGTATGTCACGCGTGTTCTCCTATTAAAAAGATACCAATACATGCAATATTAAGCCTGTTCGTTTTGTCTGCACTATTGAACTGGTGCAACAAGTTAAAGTGAGAAAACTTACGTTTGTCTCACTTTAACTTAATGCACCAGTTCAGCAGTGCAGACAAAACGAACAGGCCTATTGGTGGTAGAGTTTGTAAATACAACGGCTACATTTCAAAAACTGAAACCGCAAAAAAATGCAAGATCCACTGATTACACAATTTGTATCTTCGTACCTTCAAGTAGACGATCTCTCTTTGGCAATGTGTCAATTTAGTGGTATCTAGAGTAACCGTTCGATTAATATAATGGTGCCGCGCATTATTATCTGTGCCGAACCAAACTCTCGAGAATTTCTTAGCTCCGGCATAAGTCTCCGCTTCAATGTAATAATGCAGCTTTAAATTTTGCATAGACTCTTCTTTCACCAGTGACTCCGTTTTGCAACATGCCTCAAACGAGAAACTGCAAGATTCGACATATTTATCATTAATTGCAAACGGCGGTTACCAAGTGTATCCAAATGTTTAACAATTAATTAATAGCCAATGTCTATAATAATAGAGATTTTTGTATCCGATAACAAATCACTTAGTATTACTGACCACGTGTGATTCGAGTCAGGATCAATCAAGCACCCAATTTTATTGGGATCGATGGCTTCTATCTTATCTTGATACGTCTCATCCTTCTTTTCGTAACGTATATAAGTAGTAATATCGATTATCTTCTTAGAACGGAGAAGCACAATCGCATCGTCCTCGTACGCTCCAATTAAAAGATCCGAGTAACCATTGTGATCCATGTCGATACCCCCGCTTAAAGAGTAACCAAACGTTTTCAATGGTGAGGGCATGTCTTCGGCATGTATTACCTGAAAAACAATTTATGTACTTAGACAAATATACAATTACTACGAAAAGAGAAAAATAAAAAAAAAAGTAAAGCAGCAATATCAACTGAAAAAGTTGACTACCTGTGACGGTGTTTTGATTATACCGTTCTTGGAACCGAGATAGATGTAAATCGTTCCTTTTCCTTCGTACGGAGCGCCGATCGCTATATCCTCATAGCCATCTTTGTTCAAATCGCCCAAATTCGTAAGCGCAAATCCAAACCTATCATTAATTTGCCATTACCTATTTAAGACCGCGATGTGGATAACGTGACATATAGAGATGTGCGAATCAAGAATTTCTATGTCGAATCGAATCGAATCGAATCTCATTTTTTAAATTCGAATTCGAATCGAATCATTAAAAATTTTAACATGACTATTAAATATGCAAATAATAATGGAAGATTTTAATACGAAAGGGAATATTAATATTGTAATATCATCTTAAGGTAAAATATATATTTAAATATTTAAAGTAATTTATAATTAAGTTATTAATTATAAGTTAAGTTAATTACAAGTTAAGGGTTCAAACATACAGAGCCAGATGGCTTGTTTTGTAGCTGATGCACGTAAACGATAATATATTTGATTCCTATTCGTATTATTCGGACTCAAATCGAATCGAATCGAATTACATTAGATTTGATTCGATTCGAATTCGAATAGTTTTCGCACATCTCTAGTGACATAAGAATATAATAAACCTCGACTCCTCACGACCGACGAGCTTGACAGGTAGACATCTCTCGTTATCTTTCATGGTTTTACATATATCCAATGCTGTATAAATGTAGACAGCACCACCTTCTACTTTGTTGAAGTAAAACGGTGCCGCCACGATTAAATCGCTAATTCTGGAATAAACGATAAGATACATGATGAACAAAATGCACATTTGTAAGAAGTACAGATTGTTCAGAAACAATGAATAGAGTGAAGTGAAACATACAAACGGAGCTATTTGGTCGTTTGTACTATTTTTTGCAAAAAAACCCAAAACCGCTGTACCTCCGTCAGGCATAACTTTTTTTTAACGGCTTACCATCGAGAAAACAGTTAATGTAAAAAACAATTAACAGTTAATTAACCCTTTGTTGCACGTTTCTTTCTAATAAATATAATTTTGTGAAACTTGTTACTCGAGGGTTTTTAGGGTCAATGAATATAAATTCGATGTGAAAAATACGAAATTCAAAATGGCGAATCCAATATGGCAGACGCAATTTTCAAAATCAACCGAATTCGTTTAAAATTTGTTGTTTAAAGGTTTTCGAGGTTGCTAATTACAAATTCATTATCGAAAACTCGAAATGCCAAAACCATGACGCAAGATATACAAGATGATTGCAAGATATATAAGATTCGGTTGACACCGGTCAAGTTGCCCGGTTTTCAAGCGCAGTTAGCTTATTTCATTTCTATAACTATGTTCGCCATATGAGATCTGTCATTTTGAATTTTGTATTTTTCACATCGGATTCGTATTTAGCAACTTCAAAAACCCCCGAATAATAAGTTTCAAGTGAATTCGACTGATTTTGAAAGTTCCGTCTGCCATATTGGGACCGCCATTTTGAATTTTATATTTTTCATACTGGATTTATATTCAGCGACCCTAAAACTCCTCAGATAACGATTTTGAAATATACGTTCCTGCTTAAAATTTTACGTAAACGAATTAATTTATTCTCTAAAAACAACAGTTTTGTTCAGTATACAGGGTTCTCAAAAAGTTTTCGAACGATAAAATATCTCGAAAACAATCAGTTTTTGGAAAAAATGTTTCAGGCAAAAGTTGTAAAGTTTAAAATGATCTATTTACTGATCTTATCAGTTTGACCTTGGCTAGCGTCAACAAGGTCAGGGCAAAGTCACCTTGAACTTTTCAAATGGAACGCCCTACATTTTTGGCATATTATTATAACGTATTTCAAGAGCTTTCCAAAACACTACAACAAAGTATTTTTTTGTTAAGTACATTCCGAGTTATGAAGCTTCAAAGTTACAGTACCGTCAGCATTAGCATTACCCAAGGTGTACCGCGTGGAGGTTGCAGTGTGTGTATGTAGATCACGTACGCATGCACGCATGCACACACGCGCACACACACACACACGCACACACACACACGCACGCACGCACGCACGCACGCACGCACACACACACGCGCACACACACACACACACACACACACACACACACACGAGGTGTAAATCCGATCGTGCAACCTCCACGCGGTACACCTTGGGTAATGCTAATGCCGACGGTACTGTAACTTTGAAGCTTCATAACTCGGGATGTACTTAACAAAAAAATACTTTGTTGTAGTGTTTTGGAAAGCTCTTGAAATACGTTATAATAATATGCCAAAAATGTAGGGAGTTCCATTTGAAAAGTTCAAGGTGACTTTGCCCTGACCTTGTTGACGCTAGCCAAGGTCAAACTGATAAGATCAGTAAATAGATCATTTTAAACCTTACAACTTTTGCCTGAAACATTTTTTCCAAAAACTGATTGTTTTCGAGATATTTTATCGTTCGAAGACTTTTTGAGAACCCTGTATGTTTATTAATCATAAATTACTTGTTTGAAATGATTCTAAAAGTTAATGTATTAGTTAGAAGAACATTTTAGTAGTCAAACAATACCAAATATGGTAAAAAAATATGTGAAAAATTTCAATTATTGGAAAAACAAGCTTAGATGATAGGTGGCACTTTGGGAAGACCACTATGTAGCAAAGGGTCCGACTATAAAAGTATCGAACCTTGAACTCTTCGTAAAAATACTTATAAACTTCGTAAAAATTCTTACAAACTTATTAAATTAATTAATATATGTAACATATACTATACAGGGTGTTTGATAGCTGATCATGCAGACGAAAGTTGGAGATAGATTGGGTGTAGCCGAAAAGAAAACTCATGTACCATAATGTCAAATTGGCAATAGTTACCGAGTTATTAATTAAAACATGTGAGCCAACGAGCGCGTAGAGAGCGGAGGGCAGCCGCAGTAAGCACGTAGACATTTGATACAGGCGGAGTCAGCGAGTTGCGGTGTAGGCAAGCGCGCGCGGCGAGGGGCAACGTAAGCGACAAGAGGCGATCGCGCGCGACGAGGAGCGAGCGAGCGAGCTTTTTCTTTATAGCTTTTTCCTTATAGCTCACTCGCTCCTTGTCGTTCGCGCTCGCTCGCTCTTCGTCGCACTCGCTCGCCTCTTGTCGCTTGCGCTCGCTCGCTCCTCGTCGTTCGCGCTCGCTCACTCCTCGTCGCGCGCGTTCGCCTCTTGTTTACGTTGCCTCTCGCCGCGCGCGCTCGCCTATCGCCACTCGCTGACTCCGCCTGTATCAAATGTCTACGTGCTTACTGCGGCCGCCCTCCGCTCTCTACGCACCCGTTGGCTCACATGTTTTAATTCATAACTCGGTAACTATTGCCAATTTGGCATTATGGTACATGACTTTTCTTCTCGGCTACACCCAATCGATCTCCAACTTTCGTCTGCATGATCAGCTATCAAACACCCTGTACGCCACGCGCGCGCGCATATGACACGTTTAACGCAACATGGTCTTACTTGTCTCCGTTTATGTCTGCCGACGTAATTTCGTATCCATAGCTGGAGGCGAACTGTTCTCCGTCAAGAACGAGCATAACTTCCATCTCCGGTCTGAAATCATGTCTGGTGAATAGGACCACCTGCCCCGTGCCGTTAGATCGTGGCGCACCCGCGGCGTAAGCCAAGTCTTTGCCGAAAAAGTTTCCAACTGCTACAGACATTCCTGCAATACACGTCAAGTTTCAAAAGAAAATAGATTCTTAAAAAACCCGAGGCCTTAAGAAGTTGCTCATTATCGAGCCTTTTTGCAGCTGAACGTTAGGAAATGGTTTTCTTGCTAAAAAATTACGGCTCAAGATACAACGTGCACGTATTATACACACCGAGATAGCTGTATTTATTCACAGGCGACAAGTCTTGCATCGGTGCGCTGTAAACTGTAGTATCCCGTGACAAAAATTCGTCCGACACGGAGGACAGATATACAGTACCTCTCCAGGTATGTGGACCCGGTGTGCCGATCAGCACACGATCATCTATCGTTAATAAACCGCTAGTACCAGCTTGGCAGTAACCGAACTGCTCGTGTGCCCTGAAAATACCAAGATCTTATTTATACTAATAGTTAAAGTCTAATTGAATGTCGAAAAAAAATTGATGAATTGAATGATGATCAAAACAAAGCATGTCTACTTTGAAATGCATACAGAATATATCCGCGAGTTTTATGATATTTAGTGTGTAATGTAGTAAAAGAGATGTATTTGAAAACGAAATATAAATCGATAGTATTACTTGTTTGTGGGCTTTCCAGAGCATGGTTTTTTCAAGTCGTTATATTTTAAATCTTGATTTAATATGTAGCATTGGCCTTGACCCCACTGAGAATCAAGTGTTTTGATAATATGCCTATGTGCGCATACCTGCAAATAATCAATAAAATTGATGAATCTTTGTATATCTCATTTTAGAGAAATAGATAAAAAGATGATATTATTATGTAAATTATAAGTTCATAACACTCTCCTCTTCAAGATACAATAGTGTTACTTTATCATTCTCGACTCACCATTACTTTACCTCCTACTCCTTGACTGCGTACAGTAACTCCTAGCCATTGATTATCCTTTATCTCGTCCGTACCTGGTTTTACTAACTCATCTGACTCTGTATCTGAAGAAAATAAAGCAGTTTTAATAATTACATTTTCAAAACAAATTAAATATGTATTATTATCTTCGGCAAATTCAATTGGATGCAGTAGAGCGCATCAGTGCATAATAAGCTGGTATTCATAGGCTATTCTTATATATTCGAGACTATAAAATAATTGACTAATTAAATTCATTATCATTATCATTCATTTTAAATTGATCTTCAGATAATGTATGATTTGTTTCATTAGTTATGGATCTAAAGATAATAAATATTAAAGTTCTCAATTTCAAGAATTTTTTTAAAGTATATATATTTAATATGCATCCGTTATGTATATATAGGGTATTAGAAAAGTCTGGAAACGGTTAAATATATCGAAAACGAAACGTTTCTGAGAAAAATGTTTCCAACCAAAGTTATAGGGTTTTAAAAGTTCTGTTGAATCATCATATCCGTTTGACCTTGAGTGGAGGGGTCAAAGCGAGGTCAAGGCCAACATTTTTTTAAATGGAACACCCCATTTTTTTATCATAAAGTATTAAAGATCACAACAAGACATTTGCAAAACACTATTTGATGACCTATTTTTGTTGAGAATTGTCTGAGTTATGAGTTTTAAAATTTACGGTGCCGCCAGCTTAGTATTATCCAGGATGTACCGCGTGGAGGTTGCATGGTCGGACTTTACACCCCTGTATGTGTATGTGTATATGTATGTGTGTATGTGTGTGTGTGTGCGCGCGTGTGCATGTGTGTGCATGTGTGTGTGCGTGTGTGTGTGTGTGTGCGCGCGTGCGCGCGCGTGTGTGTGTATGTGTGCGTGTGTGAGTGTACGTGTGTGTGTGTGTGAGTGAGCGTGTGTGCGCGCGCGCGCGTATGTGTGTGCGTGTGTGCGTGCGCGCGCGTGTGTGTGTGTATATGCGCGCGCGCGCGTACGTGTATATGTAGACGGGTTTTTACTAAATTAAATGTTCAAATTGTCTTCCGTCTGCTGCTTGACAATGACCTAATCGTAGATGAAATTCATTTAAAACGTTTCGTCTCATCTGGTGAGGTAAGATTTATTTGGTGCAGTATGCATTCTCTAAGGTCTACCAAGTTAGCAGGTTTCGTTGCATACACATTCTAATAAGTTATTTGTAAACTGTCATTAGACTTATAAACCATTTGTAAGAGCTCCTCATCCTTATTCTTACATACACACACACACACGCGCGCGCGCACGAGCACGCACACACACAACGCGCGCGCACACACACGCACGCACACACGCACCCACACTCACAGCAGAGAGGGGGACGCATTGGCTTCGTTCAGAAAACACGACGGTTACACAACGGTTGTGTAATTCGTCAATGTTATTGGTCTGAATGTAAGCATCTAAGTAAGGACCAATAGTTACTAGCCGCTCAATGAGCGCTTTATTTTTTGAACGCAACCATTAAATACTGCGGGAGTGACGAACCGCGAGTTCCTTAGCTTTGCTGACACACACATATACACAGGAGTATAAAGTCCGACCATGCAACCTCCACGCGGTACGGTCATGGACATAATAATGTGTGCCCGTTTTTTGCAACTTTCGGAACATATCCCGACTCGAGAAGAATGAGAATCACTGCTCTGCCTGCGGAGCACGCCTGCGCAGTGACTCACAACGAAAGGCGAGAAATGAAATATACACGGTGGGACATATTATAATAATAAACAGCTGTTATATAACAGCTGTTTCTGTACCTAATATCATTGCTTCTGCTATAGAAGATGGCTGTTGCTGAAACAATAAATCACATATAAATGTATAATAGAATCGTAATTATCGTAATGCAGCTTAATTTTCTTAATTAAGTTCGTATTGTTTTAAAAACATAAACATAGAAATGTTTATTTATCTCTACCTTTTTCGGATGTCCCCCGGAGTATAAAACTTACATCGGATGATTTTTGTCTGTTCTGTGTTCCCTCATTTCCATTTAATGCTAGAGTATTCATTTCATCTGAGTCTGTATTATTATAATATGTCCCACCGTGTATATTTCATTTCTCGCCTTTCGTTGTGAGTCACTGCGCAGGCGTGCTCCGCAGGCGGAGCAGTGACTCTCATTCTTCTCGAGTCGAGATGCGTTCCGAAAGTTGCAAAAAACGGGCACATACTATTATGTCCGCGACCGTACATCTCGGACAATACTAATGCTGGCGGCACCGTAAATTCTAAAGCTCATAACTCAGACAATTCTCAACAAAAATAGGTCATCAAATAATGTTTAGGAAACGTCTTGCTATCATCTTTAACACTATATGATAAAAAAGGGGTGTTCCATTTTAAAAAATCATGTTGGCCTTGACCTCGCTTTGACCCCTCTACTCAAGGTCAAACAGATATGATCATTCAATAGAACTTTTAAAACCCTACAACTTTGGTTGGAAACATTTTTCTCAGAAACGTTTCGTTTTCGAGATATTTGATCGTTTGCAGTTTTTTAACACCCTGTATATTTCTTATATATACAAGGTGTTTGAAAGCTTATCATGCAGACGAAAGTTGGAGATAGATTGGGTGTAGCCGAGAAGAAAAGTCATGTACCATAATGTCAAATTGGCAATAGTTATCGAGTTATTAATTGAAACCTGTGAGCCAATGAGCGCGTAGAGAGCGATGGGCGGCCGCGGTAAGCACGTAGACATTTTATACAGACGGAGTCAGCGAGTGGCGGCAGGCAAGCGCGCGCGGCAAGGGGCAACGTAAACGACAAGAGGCGAGCGCGCACGATGAGCGAGCGAGCGCGACGAGGAGCGAGCGAGCTATAAGGAAGAAGCTCGCTCGCTCCTCGTCGCGCTCGCTCGCCTTTTGTCGCTTGCGCTCGCTCGCTCCTCGTCGTTCGCGCTCGCTCGCCTCTTGTTGCTTACGTTGCCCCTCGTCTCGCGCGCTTGCCTACCACTCGCTGATTCCGCCTGTATCAAATGTCTACGTGCTTACTGCGGCCGCCCTCCGCTCTCTACGCGCTTGTTGGCTAACACGCTTTAATTCGGAGCGAGCGAGCGCTAACGACAAAGAGCGAGCGAGCGCGAACGACGAGGAGCGAGCGAGCGCAAGCGACAAGAGGCGAGTGAGCGCGACGAAGAGCGAGCGAGTGCGAACGACGAGGAGCGAACGAGCTATAAGGAAAAAGCTGTAAAGAAAAAGCTCGCTCGCTCGCTCCTCGTCGCGCGCGATCGCCTCTTGTCGCTTACGTTGCCCCTCGCCGCGCGCGCTCGCCTACCGTCACTCGCTGACTCCGCCTGTATCAAATGTCTATGTGCTTACTGCGGCCGCCCTCCGCTCTCTACGCGCTCGTTGGCTCACATGTTTTAATTAATAACTCGGTAACTATTGCCAATTTGACATTATGGTACATGACTTTTCTTCTCGGCTACACCCAATCTATCTCCAACTTTCGTCTGCATGATCAGCTATCAAACACCCTGTATATATATATATATATATATATATATATATATACACAGAGTGTCCGGAACGTGATCATTAATATTTTGTGTACTGGTAGATTGGGTGTAGCCGAGAAGAAAAGTCATGTACCATAATGTCAAATTGGCAATAGTTATCGAGTTATTAATTGAAATATGAGCCAATGAGCACGTAGAGAGCACTGAGCGGCCGCCTTTTATCGCTTGCGCTCGCTCGCTCGTCGTTCGCGCTCGCTCACTCCTCGTCGCGCGTGCACGCCTCTTGTCGCTTACGGTTGTCTGTCGTCGCGCGAGGTAAGCCATCTTCTTATACACAGAGCCCGTCCTGTCGCATTCTCGTGCGCTCATTCGTTTACACATTTTAATTAATTACGGAATAAATATTGAAAAAATTGTAAAATGGCACAGGACTTTTTTAATTGTTTTAACGAGTTCTACCAGTACACAAAATATTAATGATCACATTCCGGACACCCTGTATATACAGTGCCTACCAAAAGTTCGGGGCCACCTAAATAATTTTTGAACGGTTTGAAATATAGGATTGAAATTTATAAGGATTCAATGGGATCACAAAGTCTATTATTTAACCACAAAAACACCCACCTCCACACCCCCGGGGACCGAGGGGAGGGGGGAGCTAAAAAATCTCAAATGGCGTGTTGGGTTGAGTGAGGGCTCGTTCGAAAGGGCTTTCCGAGACGAAAACAACACTAGGTCGCCGAAGTCTACGATTTTTTTCGCAGAGTTATGATCATTTGAACATTGAGATTTTGCGAGGGCCCACAGCGACAACAGAAGAAAGGTCAGGCTTCACGTGGGCACGCGCGTTTCTGTGTGTGCGTGCGTGCGTGTGTGTGTATGTGTATATGCGTGTTCGGCCAACTAAGGCAAGACCAAGATAGGAACACTGGCGTATGTGAAGGAATAAAAACATTAATTATTTAATCAAATGTTCAAATTTTCGGACCTAGTCTCATAGACCTTTGTTTTCAAATACTCCCAGTAAAAGAAGTCTAATGGGGTCAGATCTGGTGATCTCGGTGGCCATTCTATTGTGCCTCTTCTACTAATTCATCGATCAGTGAAAACATCGTTTAGAATATTACGAGCTTGCAGAGAAAAATGAACTGGAGCCCCATCCAGCTGAAACCAAACATTGTAGAAAGCTTCTCCAGCAATATCTTGAATAGCCGGTATCACTTGTTTCTTAGCAAATTGTAATAATTTTGAAAACAAAGGTCTATGAGACTAGGTCCGAAAATTTAGAAGAGCTGCGGGAAAAAATAGTGAACGTTTCAAATTCAATCACACCCGATTTTTTAACAAACGTAATTGAAACGTTTTACATTCGTTTAAGACACTGCCAAGTTGTCAAAGGACATCAATTTGAACATTTGATTAAATAATTAGTGTCTTTATTCCTTCACGCTAGTGTTCCTATCTCGGTCTTGCCTTAGTTGGCCGAGCACGCACACACACACACGCGCACGCACGCGCGCACGCACGCACGCACGCACGCACGCATGCATACACAGGAACGCGCGTGC